GTAAAGGCCCATGACGCGTATGGCAGGTGTTCGCACGGACTCGGTCCTTCAGGCTGCGTTCATACTTTGCGGCAGCATCCACCAACAACCAATAGCGTCCACCAGCGCTCCGAGTGTCCGGCAATGTCAGCGACTAGGAGAGCAGGGTATGCGACAGGAGAATCGTAATTCACGGCGGTGGTGCAACGTCGCATCGCAAATGACGATGGTTCCAAGGTAGTAGATGGCGACAACAGGCAATTCAGAACCGAAAATAGTCATGAATGTCTACGATGACGGGGTCTACATGAAGTCCGGTGCTCCAATCGACAGGTTAACACGAGTTAAGAAAACGCCGCGCCCATCGCCGCGCGCGGCGGAGCGGCAAATTACGATTCTCTTGCCCGTCTCCCAGGAAAGCATGATATCGATCCAGCGCTTTTCAGCGTCTACCAGCGTCCACCAGCGACCAGCAGTCGGGTACGCTCGCATCTCCCCATACTCTCCATCAGCAGTCTGCTGCCCTCCTAAGTTCCCATACTTTACCAGCTGTCTGCTACCCTCCTATCGCCCCATACTCTCCACTCCCGGACGCTGCTGGTCGCTGGTAGACGCTGACAGACGCTAGATCGATACCTATACTTCCCCAGCACTCGAGGCGCGCTAGCCACTGGTGAACGATGCTGCAGAGTATGAATGCAGCCTCAATGCGCTCGCAAGCTCTCCCCGATTTCTAGTTCCCCTATGTTATATTTCTCAAACCCTAGCGACCGGCGTCGATCGATGCTAAATTCTATGAGGATTCGCGTCACCGCGAAGTCTGAACACTGCCTAACTCACCCCAGGACGTCGTGCTGAAACAGGCCAGCGCACATCGTTGCGCTAGAGACCCATGAAGCTTAGTCCATGGAGAATCCTAAAGGAAAAATCCTGAAAAGTCCTCATCTGTACTATCGCCGAGGAGTATTCAAATTGACTATTCAGTCTGACTTGGAGTAATCGCGAGCTTTATAGGTAGTGCCGAGCAATCTGCTTCGAATATTCGACGCCAATGAAATGGAATTGCTCATGTGTGGATTGCAAAAGATCGATGTTAAAGACTGGAAGGCTCACACCGTTTACAAAGGCGGTTATGGACCAAGTAGTCAAGTAAGGGCAACATCTTTCTTTACTAGATTGTCTTTCTATGGCCATTGGCACTGTTTCCATTCCATGTATGAATATTAAGGTCATTCATAATTTCTGGAAATGCATTCTTTCATTCGACAACGAAATGCGAGCTCGTGTGCTACAATTCGTGTCGGGAACATCACGGGTACCGATGAATGGATTCCGAGAACTATACGGTAACAGTCTTAGCTTTCTAGCATCTTTTCGTTTTGCTGAGGCCCCGTTTATGCCTCGTGACCACTCTGTCGCGCAGCTGCGACCCTCCGCGCTCCATCGCTAACTGCTGTACCGCTGGAACTATTGGAAAAAGTCCACGTTTTGTTGTGAGCGAAGTACTATTTGCATGATTCCAACCAACGCGTACCTGCGGAGAGCGGTCTGTCGCAGTCCCCTACACATTCCCAAATCCGCTTCTTCTCACGCTAAATCCTCAGTGGGAACTATCCCGTCCAGTCAGAAGTCGATATGCACGGAGCTGTTTCCCCGGAGTTGGGTATCCGGCGGCGGCCACAGAGAAGACAAAGAACGCACCTTAAGGCCAGCGCACAATCGTTTGGCTGGGGATTCCCATCAGGGGGAACATATTTGGTTGCCGGGGGAGGGGGGCGGTCGTATTCGGCTTCTGGCCTTCAGAGAAAGGTTGTTGATTTTGTGGGGTTTTCTGTTTACTATGTGCTATATACCGCCCCCCCCCCCTTCGCTCGAGAGCATTATTTTTTGGGAAAAATAAAATCTAGAAAAAATTTTTTTCTTGGAAAATTTCGGAAAAAACTGGTAGGATGAGGGAAAATCAAAAGTTGAGGAAGTGTGTAGGTAGGATGGAGTAAGGGGTATGCAACCCCCCTAAAAGAAGGGGGGGGGCGGGTCGTACAAACTTAGTCAAAATCCCCAACACTAATGATGTGCCCATGCCTTAGTTCCATTATTTCGCACATATGTGACGTAGCGCGAAGTCACTACATAGAAGTGCTCTATAGATAGGGTACTTCCCGCCAATCTGTAAAATTCTTAACAATCACGGCCTCCCTACTCGGGGATTCCCCCATAAATCCGCACTTTCCCACTCCAGGCTATACTCCACCCCTCCAGATCCTATACGCCACCTTCCTAAATTTTCCCAACTTCCTACCACACTGTTCCACAGTTTTTTTTTTAGAAAATTCTTTCTAAAAACTGCAGTGGTCGGAGGAAGCGTGTATAGAGGGACTGGGACCGTAATACTTGAGAAAAGTCAGCGCATGAAAACATTTTTTTGAAGACAAATACGCCCTTCACCGGAGAACTCCAACGTGCGACATGCCCCCCTTCCCTAGAGTAGCTTTTGCGACACAGAAAAAGGACATGGCTAGGAGAAGTAGACATTTCACCTCTTCAAAATGCCAAGATAGCGTTGATCAATAGCGTGTGATAGGCTGCTCGGCCAGGTTTCAGGAGAACTGGCTGCCTAGTTTGATAATGAGAGCTCAGGCAACCTGCTTAGAAACTACCGCAGAAGTAGTCAGCCCCTCGATACAAATCTGTTATTCTTCCACTATGATATCGAGTTTTCAGGTTCTAATGGACCACAGAAGTTCACCATTGAGAGATGGGGTAGTTCGGACATGCTACCCCGAGCTCATACATGGTATGTAATTTTGACTTCCCATATTCACAAATTTTACCCTATATCTGAGAAATTTTCCAGTTTCAACCGGCTCGACCTTCCTCCATATCAGACGTTCTCCGAATTGAAGCAAAAATTGTGTACAGCCATCGAGAACTCAGAGATCTTCAGCGGTGTCGACTGAACGAACTATCGACAATCGATTAGCGATCAATACTTGTAAAAGAGTGATTCGTAAAGTATTGCACGAGCGGTGATGTACAGAATGTTCACACTCAACAAATGAATGTTTACGCGGTACACGTTGTGATGAGAGAATAAAACTGGTCTAAATTGTGAAAGTTCTTCACAAATGCTATCTAAAGGGATATTGTAGCTGCACTTTGTCACGAGGAAAAAGCGCGTTAATCAATTCGTGTTTTCAGGGTCAGGGCCAGTATAGATGCAAGTGCGAAGTTGGCCCTGACAATACTGCAACTGCGTCGCTGATAACCAATGGCTACAACTCCTGGTACAATAGCGATCGGAAAGAAATCGTTTCGACTAAAAAATCAGTCAAGGATGCATCTACGACTATAGAAAAACTGCCTGTAGGTGTCTAAGGATACTGAATTTTTGGAAGTCTAAGTCTTCAACTAAGTTCGTGCACCACACCAAAACACTTTATATTTTGTCCCGTTATACTACCTTCTTATTACTACCATATAGTCGTATTTTTCGGGTTTTTTTTTTTTGTATCGTACAGGAACTTTTACGACTCTTCTGCTTCTTCTGAACTCACCATTCTCCAACAAAGTTCTTGTGTGCTGTTGTGCGAAGGTTTGATGTGGTTTTCCATAAGAATGCATTCATAACTTTTGTGTCAGCGTTTTTGTGTGTCGCCATTTAGTTTTTTATGGGTTTTTGGACGTTTTACGAAAACATAGATATCGTATTCAGCGTTTTGGGGTCGCACAAGGCATCAGGCCGTTCACTGCCAGCGTTCTGAGGTTCTTCGAAGTATAAGAATTGATCGAAACGGTGGGGTGGCGGGGCTCTCAGACGCTGACGCAAACTGATTTGAATTGGCATTCCATGTACCTTGGTGCCACGAACTCAGTTCGCAACACGCAGTAACTCATCGTAAACGGTTTTCAGACATTTGTATTTTCCAGACTTCGAAACTTACTGAGATTTGTGTACCACAGCTGTAGTGGTCTTTAATACAGAGATTTAGTTGTATTTCAGGAACTTGAAGTAGCGGACGCGTACTTCGATGAACATCCTGTGCTGGATTTTGTAGGAACCTGTTTGCGGTTAATGGTCGCGATATTGAATGTTTTTTTTTCCAAAACTTTCATATGAAACAATTGTTTATACGGTTTGTAACCATTGACAGAGAACAGTCGATATAAGGAATCAAATCCTACTCAGTAATTCCCACGTCGGAAAAACGCTTGCAAAATAAGTTCCGAGATTTTCAGCCCTCTGTTGGTTTATAGTCACTATCACCGAATCAGTGAGGCTGTGCGTGCGCCGCGACACGTGTTTGTCGCGAGTACAGCCCTTTTTCAATCATTGCCATCTTCGGACGTTCAATTGCAGTGGTGGGAAAATGGCTAGGCGCCAGTCTCAAAAACATTTACGCGCGCCTTACACACCTTAGCTGACTATACCGTCATGACAACTGCACAGCCTGCGGATGATTCTATGTGTAATCATGATTTGCGTTTTCATTGTGCTTCATATCCCCGAAACAGCCTAAATCTCGGTAACATTGACTTTCCCTTTCTTTATAGCATTGATTGGTTATCTGCGGTGATTTGAATGTTATTCGTGCGCTTTTCTCATTTGAAAGCCGCTTAGCGCAAGTCGTCCAAAGAGTGTACGGCGACTCCATGGCGTTGGAGGTGGCAACTGGCCTCGCGGTAGGGGACGTACTCATGATCAGACAAAGGCAGGGGAGACCAGACGTATCGTCGTTGGTCGCTGTTGATGATGCTATGGCGTGTCAGGCAAACTGGCTCGGTGGGGCGAGGTCGTTTGGCGCGGCGCAAGCCTCGTTCTTTCAATTTTTGAAGTGGGGAAGAGCGACAGCCATTGGGGGCAAACGAGCGAACAAGGCCTGTAGAGGACCATGAGGCGAACTTGCACCAGCGCTAGATCTTGCCTTGTCCACGCAATTTTTCAACTTGCTAAGAGAGGAATTGGTAGGTTTTTTCTGGCACAAAACGTCGAAGAAAACCTTCGATAAGCCATGATATCTGGGGAGGAGTGTGGTTTTTCAGAGTTTGCCTGAAGATAGCGATCGATTAATTCTCTCGCTTAGTCTGACGATTCTCTCGTTTAGTCTGACCAATACTTCAGGTTTTGTCCTACTGTACTTTAACGACATAGTACTTGACCCTGTTCAACTTAGGGGGGTGGGGTAGGGGCAGGGGGTACAAGGGGGAAGGCGGCGTCCTGTGCTCACATACAACGGAAGGGCGTCTGTGCTCCATACAACGAGATAGCCACGAAGATATGATATCCCACGCTGGATGAACGATTGCCTGAGTTCAATTTTTTTTTTGTGGCCGCGAAAGAAAACGCAGAGCGGGTAGTCCTGCTGCCACATGGTCGCATACCTCCCTCTCCCTTCCCCCCCAGCCCGGACAGCGCCAAATTTTTTCCCATAGCATATATAAGATCTTCAAAGATTTCTTTCAGGTTATGCTGGCTATTTCACTTTGGTATATCTTCGACTGGTATGTTTGGTTGACGCAAAAGTGATGCTACGACGACAGTAAGCATCGGTAGATGACATGTATTAATTTTTATTACAATATGCATTATTCGTCAATTCATTATCCCTGCCTAGACGAGAGGGCATTGTGAAGCGATTTGTATGGGAAGGCAGCCAGACACTCATTTATTCCAATTGTTGCGGGCTCAGGATGGCGTCAATGGGTGGACAAGGTTGCCCCGTAGTTGCGCGTCAAGCCACGCCCCCTCACACGTCCTCTTGGTTTGCACTTTATACTGACTGACCACAGCTATGTTGCAAATACCTGTGGAATAATACGTCGGTAAATTGCTATCTTTAGGAAAATTTTGGGTCTTCATATTGTTATATCTCAGCTTATTTTATTGCTGCCTCTTCTTTGCGCACGTTCTTTATTTTGCCACTGGATTCACACATTGAGATTATAGGCGCTATTGATTCCTACTCCCTGGCAGAGGCAATTTGCCAACAATTTGGGCCGGCGCCAGGTATTCGTTGCGGGACCCTACGTCGCTAGCTCCGCCCTGCCCCAATCGATGCGTGCAGTCCTCGATTATCGCTTTTAACACAAATTACGACTGACGTAACCAGCATTAAAAAATACGACATAGTATTACTGAATCGATATTTCCAAAGGCGGCACTCGCTGGGTGGAACGGGATTTTGCGAACTTTTGCAAATGTGCCGAGACATTTTGCAAAATCGTGTAAAATTACCAAATGGGCCAGTTCCACAATTCTTAAACTGTTTATGGCTAAATATAAAGAAGTTATGGATTCCGGTCGAACGCAAGCAGCAACAGACTAACTTACAAGACCTTATGGCCGTGTCGTTCTTCCTCCGTCCCCCATTTTTCCTCGGTCATTTGCCGAAGGTAACGTAGTGGCAGGTGGCACACCTACCACGCGTATGTTCTGTGAGTCAATCCCCTGGCTCCTGTCCAGGCCAATCAATCCTTCTTCGGAAACAGTAATTCGAACGAGTTTCACCAGGGATAAAAAAACTAAGTTGCACATCATTGTGGCTCCTGCAAGTCTTGGTGAGTGTATTTCATAAGTCACTAATACATGAATGAAGTAGGATATGCGCCGCATCCCAAAAAGGGATTATCCTTGTACACCCTCGCCTCACTCCTTTCAGACCCTCGCCTTACACGACTGCAGTTCGAGGTGCTCCCTCCCCAGAGTTGATACCAATATCGGGAAGTCGCAACTATGTCTCGTACATCGAATGCCATCGCAAGCCATATCAAGGCGATAATCAAAGAAAGCCACTACGATTCTGAATGGAAGTTCAATACGTCTCGCATTATAAAAAGTGTTGATCAATGGCAAAAGCTTTATCCTCTATTCGAAAAAATTGTATTTACTATTGCAATGCGTGTACCGATGTCCAAGGAACGGCCAAGAATAACATCGTGTGCCAATGACCAGCTCCGTTAGTTTCGGGCCTTTCGTGGACCAAATTAACTGACAGGACATCTCAGTGGCCCGCGCCAATGACGTTCAGAAAATACAGGAATTTACAAATGTGCCCAGTATTATGACAGACTTGCTTGTCCCCAGTTCCATATTTGAAAGGCAATTTCAGGGCGCAGGTTTTGTGAAAGACATTTGCACTTCTCTACTCCACCAGTTCCGCTTCCAAGACTCATGCCTGGTTTCTACAAGCTTCGGCTGATGTCATTTCATGGCTTGACCAGATTTCACAGGTATTCACTGATGGCCCCGGCCGTCGATGGGAAGCAGCAAAAGAGCAACTGTGCCCCCCCCCCCCCACTCCC